TTTCTTTTATGTATTTTAAATTCTCTAGATTAGAGATGTCAAACTTGATTTCATTGAGGGTTGTGTCAGGGTTTATTTATTTTATTTATTTAATTTAATTTATATACTGCCCTTCTCCAACAGGACTCAGGGCAGTGAACAGCCCAGATAAAACATAACATATAAAATTTAAAAGCAGTTTAAAAGACATTAAATAATTTTGGCCCTCAATTTAAAACAACCCAGTTAAAACCAATTAGAAATTAAAACCGAAAGGATGGGATCAAGCCAGCCCGGCTAGATGAAATAGATGTGTTTTCAGGGCCCGACGAAAAATCCGGAGTATCGTGCATATCTCTGGGGGTAGGTCATTCCAGAGGGCAGGTGCCGCCACAGAGAAGGCTCTCCCCCTGGGGGTCGCCGGCCGACATTGTCTGGCCGATGGCATCCTGAGGAGGCCCTCTCTGTGCGAGCGAACTAGCCGGTGGGAGGCTATTGGCGGCAGAAGGCGGTCTCATAGATACCCCGACCCTAAGCCATGGAGCGCTTTAAAGGTGATCACCAACACCTTGAAGCGCACCCAGAAGACCACCGGAAGCCAGTGCAGCTCGCGCAGGAGAGGTGTCACATGGGAGCGCCCCGTCGCTCCCATAATCCCCCGCGTGGCTGCATTCTGGACCAACTGGAGCCTCCGGGTGCACCCCAAGGGGAGCCCCATGTAGAGAGCATTGCAGTAGTCCAGGCGGGAAGTGACGAGTGCCTGAGTGACCGTGCGTAGGGAGTCCCGATCCAGAAAGGGGCGCAACTGGCGTATCAGGCGAACCTGATTAAAAAAAACCCTGGCCACGGCCGTCATATACTCTTCTAAAGACAGCCGTGCATCCAGGAGGATGCCCAAGTTGCGAGCCCTTTCCGTGGGGGCCAATGATTCACCCCCAATAACCAGCGATGGCACCAACTGGCTGTATCGGGATGCCAGAAGCCACAGCAACTCGGTCTTGGAAGGTGTGAGTCGGAGCCTATTTCTCCCCATCCAGGCCTGCACAGCCTCCAGGCACTGGGACATCACTTCAAGGGCATCGTTGGGATGGCCTGGGGTGGAGATGTACAGCTGAGTATCGTCAGCATACTGATGGAACTCCACCCCAAAGCCACGGATGATCTCACCCAGCGGCTTTACATAAATGTTGAACAGAAGGGGCGAGAGGACCGACCCTTGCGGCACCCCACAAACAAGGCGCCTCGGGGTCGACCGCTGCCCGCCTGCCAACACAGATTGTGACCGGTCAGAGAGATAGGAGGAGAACCACCACAAAACGGTGCCCCCCACCCCCAACCCCTCCAACCGGTGCAACATGATACCATGGTCGATGGTATCAAAAGCCGCTGAGAGCCGTTGTGTTTGACCTCTTAGGGCCATGAGTGTGTGGCTGGGTGGGCATAGCCAGGGTGGGCGTGGCCATCCTGGAGGCCGAAAACAGGCTGCAGAGTGGTGCACGCAAATCCCCCGTGTCCTGTTTTGGCTAGCAGAGGCTCCGTGGGCCAGTCCTTTGATATTTCCAGGCCGTGGGCCAGATTTAAGCACTCTGTGTCCCATGGACCTTAAGTTTGACACCCCTGCTCTAGATAGTGTTAGCTTTATCTGTATAATATTCAATACATTATTAAAATGGTAAGCAAACCCTGGTACTTCCCCATGGAAGGAAGGAAGGCATTCTACTGAGAGATGGACAATAAAATGTGGAAGAAAACTCACTCCTAGAAGCAAGAAACCACCCTTAGAAATTCCGAGAAAAAAAACTCTTGTATTCCATACACACTTGTTGCAATATAAAAGAAAGGAAAATCCTGTGCACTACGTTAGTCTATTTTAATACCAAGAGGTTAAAAAAAAAAAAGTGTGTGTGCGTGCGTGTGGTTTTACAATCATGGAAATTGTCACAGGAAATTAGTGCTTCTACAGGCATAATCTTGGCTCGGAGCTTGAAGGCAGGATCTTCCCCGGAATTCTGGAACCTGCTTATGCAGCAGAAACTTAAAAAGAGCCGACGACCGCAAAGAGCATTGGAGAAACTCCACCAGAGGCGGAAGCTCCTGCGTGCCCAGAGCGGTTGCTGTGCCCAAACCAAAGTATCCATGCTCCCTCTGCAGAAACCAGCAGGCTTTGAAAGGTGGGAGGAATATTGAGTTGAGTGGGAAGCTGGAGATGGCAGGGAAGGGGGGAAAGTGCTGAGAAGATGGGGGACAGGCCCGCAGAGGAAGAGGAGAAAAGGCAACCAATTCTTGCCCAACCTGCTTCTGAAATCCTGCCTGAATCTCTCCAGATTTTGTTTTGGCTGAAAGGCACTCTGGGCTTTGCTTCTTCAAGTGACTCAGCAGAACTTGGTGATTGGACAGCCACTTGTCTGAAATGGTAGGGTCTCGTGCTTGAGCAGGGGGCTGGACTAGAAGACCTCCAAGGTCCCTTCCCGCTCTATTATTCTGTTAAGTTCTGTTAACTGCGCTGGTTGCAGGTTCTCTGCCCTGAGCAATCTCCTGAGAGCAAAGGCAGGAGGACACAGCAGAGAGAGAGAGCACTTCTCATCTTTTTAGACATGGCAGAATATTTTAGGAAAGACTCCACAATCCATTTCTCCAGGGGAATTCTGGGAAATCTGACATTCTGCTCATTATCATCAGCTACCTTGCTTGAAAAGAAGCGCTACAGTGGAGAGAAATCGTCACCCTTTACCCTGAGGGTCTCAGGGACTTGGGGGCAACCCAGGAGAAACCAGGTTTGATCCTGGAGGGAATCAAGCCTCAGGCACGGATGTCCCAGGGCTGCACTGGGTGGGGAGATGGATTGAACTGGGCCCCCGTCGCTCCCAGCCAGATGTTCTGCAGTTTGGCGATTTTGAACTAGGGAGTTGAAAAACTGCATCCGAAGGAAACAGTGGTAAATCATTTTCATATTATTGCTAAAAACAAGACCCAGATGTATCTGTGCCATGACCAAATTCTAGCTCCACTTGAGGGAGATTTTGCCATTACCTTTTAATGGGATGGGAGAGAGGTTTGAAGTTTGAAGAAAAACGCTTTCCCTCATGCAAGTCCTTGTACACTGTAAATTTATTGAACTATTATTACACTTTTCACTGTTAATCATCCAATCCCTTGTATCCAAACTCTTCTTCAGGAAAGGAAATTATTTTCAAAACATAAAAATATAAATTCTGCATATTAAAAGTGCATACAAATAAATAAAAGGCATTGACACACTCTCATGCACTTGCTCTGAAATAAGTTAAAACCCCTTCTGGGAAGGAGACACAGCCTCCCCCCCAGCGGATTGTAGAGATTTAAAAAAAAGATGGAAACTCTGATCACGTATCAAAGTTGGCAGCGGGGAAGGGGAGGAAAGCATGCAGCTCCTCACACGCAACTCGGGTTGCCACGGTTGACTCGTCGGGTTGAGCATCTAGTTTTAGCCAAAGGTGAGCAGGGGCTCCGCGGCACTGGATTCTCTGGCTGCCCCTTCCGGAGACGGCGGAATCCAAGGCGAGCAGGCCGGCTGAGCTCAGAAACGCTTCCAGGCCCTCAGGAATTTCCACAACTTCCACGTGTGGCAAACTCCGTTCTCCTCTTTAAGTCTCTCAGGTTTGGCTCTCGGGTCAGCGTGTTTTTTCCCCCCAGTGAAGAAAAACCTTCACATCAACTCACCAAAGATTAAAACTAAATCTTAGTTGCTTGTGTGGCTATGTTGGACCCATCAGCAGATTAATTGGGAAATGAGCAAAAAAAGATTTTCCCACAAATGTAATTCCAGCTGGAATTTCCAAGCGCAAATGCCTTCTGACCCCCTGAGGGGGTTTCCGGAATGGCTAAGCAGAAGGCACTGAACAAGTCAGACCAGGCCTGTCCTGGGCAGCGGGGCCCAATGGGCCTGCCTTGGGCCATTTCTGGGGCCCTTCCTAAGCGACTCTGCAGGCCGTAGCCCAACAGCCAGCTCCCCCTGGCCAGGAGGAAGCTCTGCCTTCCTGGGCCGTGGGGAGGTGGCTGGCATTCCCAGTCCAGGACCTGCCAGGAGCTGACAATGTTCATGAAGCCACGTGACGAAAAGTGGGTCAGGAGGGCTCTGGGGTAAAAGCTGCATAGGTTCTCTTGCTTAGAAAGACAAACATAGCTGACAATAAGAAAAACTGCCTGCCTTCTTTGAAGTACTTCACAGCTAAGTTTTATGTCCACAGAAGTCAACCAAGGATCACAGACAGGAAGCTTTGGGGGTCTACCAAAGTAAGGAGCAAAGGCCGTGGGCTCCTCAGACACATCCAGTGCAGCTCGGACAAAGACCCCCATCCTGAATTCTTGCAACACAGCCCAGGATGCCTGAGCTGCAGCCTCCAGACGGCACTCCACCATCCTGAGGTGAGATGGCCCACAGCGAGGGATGCTGGGAGCTGCAACTTAGAAACATCAGAAGGGAAATGGGGAGCCTATCCTTGCCATAGTGTGTTCTACTGTAGCTTGCGAGAGCTGTTTGCATACTTAATATGGGCATGCATAGGGAACAGCTGAGCAGTACCATGCAAATTGAGCTTCAATAGTAAGGGAAAAGTAACTGGCCGTGCTCAGCATTCCAGATGTGATTGACAAGCACAAAACTGTCTGCAGAATCAAGTCACTCCTGGAGTGTGGAGGTTCTCTGTCCTTTTCTGAGCTGAGCCTCATCTGTGTGTAAAGACACTGACTTAAAGCAAGGGCTGCAAAGTTAGTTGCAAAGGCTTCGTGTGACGTACAAGTAATGTGACGTGTTCAAGATGTAACCTCTTCTGAACAGAACAAGGTACAAATTAACACCAACCTAATCAGAAAAAAGAAAAGAAAGAAAAAAGAAGGAGGAGGAGGAGGAGGAGGAGGAGGAGGAGGAGGAGGAGAAGAAAAAGAAAAGGAAGAGGAAGAGGAAGAGGAAGAGGAAGAGGAAGAGGAAGAGGAAGAAGAAGAAGAAGAAGAAGAAGAAGAAGAAGAAGAAGAAGAAGAGACGACCTTCTGGGATGATGAATCGGACTCTTCTGTACTGGAAGGATGATCACACAAGGAAGGAGTACGCCCATGGAGGATGAAGGCGGTTCTCATCCTCTTTGAAGGATGCCAGAATTAGTTACTACCACTCCCCACCCCCACCCTACCCAACCCCAAGAACTCAAGAAGCTTTCTAGATAGGATATTCCGGCGTCACACAATCAACACAAGACCTTGATCTTAGGCCAACTTGTTCAGATGCCCCATGATGACAACATTGGCAATGGAGGACCTCAGGGACAAATGGGCCTGTCTCTCACTGAAAGGAGGTCCATGGGACAAGGGAGAACCAAGAGGGAGCCCCCACCATAAAAGACTCCCCCACAGAGAGCTTTAGAAGGCTGCTCCAAGCAAGCTGGTCGTACTCCACAAAAAAGGAAGTCTGAATACGCTTCAAGGGTCAGGTGGACTCCTACACCCACCGGCTCTCCTCCTCCTTGCTGCATGAACTGCTGCTACAGCAAATACACACACGCATGCACGCACGCACACACACACCTGTTGTGCCTCACGTAGACAAGAGACCAGCCTGCAACTTTTTGCCCCCACCCAGGAGCCAGCTGCTCTTCTCCAAACTGAAGCATTGAACTTCATCCTCATTTCAACAGAAGCACATTTCTCCAACCGGTGCTTCCCGAATATGACAGGACCGTGACTTCCAAAAGGCCACAGCATGGGGGCTAGGAATTCTGGGAATTTGATCCCAATGTTTTTGGATGGAGCTAGTTGAAAAAGATTGTTCCAAAGAGTAGAAGCTTCCTGGAGGTTCCTTTAAACATGTGAAGGGAGCTCCCTCTTGCTTTCCAAGGGGGAGCAGCAACTGACTGGCTCCTTAACACTCTTGCTCACAGAGACGGAGCCCAAGGCTGAGGAGGGAACAAAAGCCTCCTCCAAGAGCTGCCAGGGCAAAGGCTGAGCCCCCTGCAGAGCAGCCAAAGAGGAGCTTAGAGAGTCAACCACAGAGGGAGGGGCTCAGTTCATCTGGGGGAACCTGCAAAGCAGAAGCAGCAAGAAAACCGCAGCTCCTGCTGCTACTCTGCACGGGGGGGGGGGGGGGGGGGTCCTGCCATCCAGAATATGAGAGGATCTAAGGCATCCTTCCTTTCTGCACGTCCGTACCCAGCCAGCAGACACGGAGGATGGTTGGGAATAGCTGAGCAAGAAAGAACACGGCGGGTGTCAGAAGTCCAGAGCACCCAGGACTGCCAGGGAAACATGACGGAAAACGTGGGGAGGAAGACACAGTCCTGGTTCCAGGGAGAGCTGGGGCAAGACGGGGGTCCTGGGCTGAAAGCCACCCCCAGGAGAAGAAGCAAGAACAGAAGCAGCCTGGTCCAGTTGGGCCCCCCAAAGCAGAGCGCCCCTCCCGCCAGAAGCCCTGAAGGGGCTGGAGTTGGGCCACACTTCCAGGGGCAGCAGAAAGCTGCCTTCCCGGCCACCTTCACAGCCCCCTCCTCTTGGACTGTCCTCCTCCTGCCCACCCACAGCTCCCCTTCCCTCCCTCCTTCCCTCCCTTGCTCAGAAGGGCAGGAAGGGACAAAGGAGGCGCTGGGCAGGACAGGCCATAAAAACAGCAACATACACCCCAACAGAAACCTTTCAGAATGAAGAGAATGTGAAAAGAGAGAGAGAGAGAGAGAGAGAGAGAGAGAGAGAGAGAGAGAGAAGGCACCTTTCTCAGAGTCTTCGGTTCCTCCTAGTTCTGGCTGAGCATTTACCTGAGAAATAATGTAAGCGCTGAGATATTGCCCTTGGGGAAGCTTGCAACATGGGGAGACAAGGAGGGAGAAGCAGGACCAGGGGGCTGCTTGTGCCCTGGGCTCCCTCCGACGGCCTTCTCAGCTCACAGAGCTGGGCCACCACCTGCCCTGGCCGGCCTCTGGAGAGCACGCCTGGCAAGACCTCCCGGCTGGCAGTCGTGCACTCCAGGAGGGCTCCAGGCTGGTGGGGGGTCCCTGGGCAACCCTGCAAGGAAGTGCCCACGGCAACTTGGCACGAGGACAGAACCGGGAGGGGCCTGAGCAGCGAGGTTCCCCCATCCACGGAAAACGAGGAGGGGGCCCCCCTCCAGGGCAGCTGAGGAGCAGCAGTCGAATAGCAGCGGATCACGGGGACACGGATGTGCGGGCGGAGGAGGAAACCCCCGGGGGGAGCCTGGGAAGAGCCTTGTTGATGGCCGGCCTGCCCCCTCCGGGGGACTTGGGGCTGCCCTCCGGCTGGGAAGACTGCGATTTGCAAGCGGTCAACAGGGAGCGTTTGCCGGGCATGAGGGGGTCTTTGGCAGCCACGCTGGCATTGGGGAGCGTTGCCTTCTCCGGAGGCTTCTCCTCCGAGAGGGTCTTCCCCGCAGCCTTGCAGGAGCCGCCCCCCACCTTTTTGGCCAGCAGGCTGGTCTTGCCCAGATCGGCTGACCGGCGGGTCTCCTTCTGGCGGAGGGCGGACTTGAAGAAGGACAAGCCTTTCTCCTCTGACTTGCTGTCCCTCTTCAGGCTGGACCGGGGCCCAGGGCCAGGCGAGCGCAGGCTGGCCAGGGAGGTGCTGCGCACGTGCTTGCTCTCAGGGGTCCTGCCCTCCCCACGTGCCTGGCCTAGCCGGGGAGAGTTTGTGCGCGGGCTAGCAGCCCCACTCGTCTTCTCCGAGCCCATGCTCAGCTTGGAGCCCTCCCTGCTGAGGCCGCGCTCTGAAGTCCTGCTCTTGCCCGATGAGGGGTGTCCCCGCGCAGAGCCCCCGGAGGAGCTCCTTCTGGCCGCCGCGGAGGAAGATGGCGAGGAAACCGGCCGGTGCTTCGGCTGGGTGGAGGTGGCAGAGGTGGCCTCAGGGCCCTTCACGCCAGCCTCTTTCTTGCCCGGCCTGGTTGCAGGAGAACCGGGGCGCCCACTGGCCCTGCTTGAGTCCAGCTTGCTCCGGGAACGGGACGCCTTCGGCAAGGCTTTGGAGGGAGGGGGGGATGCGACCGACCGGTGAGATGTCAGGGAATCCTGGCTGGACAAGACTGCCCGCTCTGAGTTCAAGCTGCTGCCAGGCCCAAGGCTGTCTTGGGAGGGAGGGGCTTGGAGGGGGCTGCCACCATCCGGCTTGGCCGGCCATCCAAAGTTCTGACCATCCTTGACCGGAGAGCTTTCCACAGAGTCGCTCTGGTCAACAAAGGCGATCTGGTTGTTGTTGTCAAAGGGGCCCAGAGGGGAGCTGTTTCTGTCCACCTGCAGCCCTGTCTTGCCAGAGGCTTTCCACGCTGGGGCATCTTCTCTGAAGACCCCTTCCATGACTGCCAGGGGGGCCCTGCCGAGTGTCCGAGAGTCCTGCTGGCCACGGTGGCTGCCTCCCGCTGCCCTGGTCTCCAGGGGGCTGCCGGAGAGACTCCGCCGGCTGCCAAAGCAGGAGGTGGCCACGCGGTCATCGGCCGACTCTCCAATTCTCTCCAGAGTGCCAGAGGAGCCGTGGACAGGAGAAGCCGAGTTGGAGCGCATCTGCAGCTTGGCGGAGAGGGACCACGATGGGCGGATCCCGTTTTCATTGGTGGCCAAAGGACTGGTCACTGAGGATCTGGAAGACAAGTTCTGGCGCTGGACGCTCCTCACGAAGGGCCGGGTCGAAAACCCTCCTGCGAGGCACAAAGACAGAGTCACCACATCGCCTTGGCCTCCCCCACGCAGGAGCCAGGTGCCTCCTCGTCCTCCTGGACCCCTCCGGCCAGCATGGTTCCCTCGCTGAGGGCTGAGCAGCAGGGGCAAAAGCCTCGCATCCCAGTGCTGGGAAGGAAGCCAGTCCCCAAGACCCCCCTCCACCCTCCCGTGTACGCACCGTCATCCTCACTCCGCTCCCCCATCAGCTCCACCGACTCCGAGAGGGAAGCTAAGGAGGTGCGCCTGGAGGAGGCCGCTGAGGTCACGCTGGGCGGTTTGCTGCCCGGCAACCGACTCACCCAGTGCTCACACAAGGAGGAGCTGGTGGAACCTGCCAGAAGGAAAGGCCAGTTAGGCAGGGGACAACTCGAGGGCCACCTTGCTTTGGGGTCAGTGCAGGGTCCTAACCAGGGGTAGGTTCTAAAAATTTTTACTACCAGTTCTGTGGACGTGGCATATTTTGTGGGTGTGGCTTGGTGGGGGGTGAAATGTGACTGGGTGGGCATGGCCAACTTTTTTTTTTTTACTTTTAAAAGCATTTTTTTTTACAACCTTAAGAGGTTGTAGAAAAAAATGCTTTTAGAAGCGTCTGATGATCAGGCAACTCAGCTGGGATCGCCAGAGGCTTTTAAAGGCATTTTTTTCCCTACAACCTCTTCGGCCGAAGAGGTTGCAGAAAAAAAATGCTTTTAAAAGCCTCTGACGATCCCAGCTGAGCCACGCAATCATCAGAGGCTTTTTTTTCTTTACTTTTAAAAGCATTTTTTTGGTCGAAGAGGTTGTAGAAAAAATGCTTTTAAAAGTAAAAAAGAAAAAAAGCCTCTGAAGAGGTGGGCGGGGTAAGCGAGTGGCAACCAGGCAAGGGACCAGTTCGGGGGTGTGGCCAGCCAATGTTATTACCGGTTCTCCAAACTACTACAAATTTTTACTACCGGTTCTTGTGAACTGGTGCAAACCAGGAGCAACCCACCTAACGGGTCCTAACGGGGCCGCTGACTCAAGCAGCCGATGACCAGCTCTTCTTGCAGGGCCCCCTCTGAGCCACTTGGCTGGCTGGGAAGGGAGGGTCAGGCAGCAGAGCAAAGGGCCGAGGCCTTGCTGAGAACCAGAAGGAAGGCTTCTGACCATCTGACCCGCAACGGAGGCCAGGACGAGCGGCGGCAGCTCCTGCTCTTACCTGCCACGGAACTGTTGGCTGACCAGGCGGGAATGGCCGTCCGCCTCTGGTAGAAGAGGATGTAGGCAGTGGGCTTGCACACCTCGTTCTCGGCCAGCTGCTGGACCTCACTGTCATCAAAGCAGTACCAGAGGCCATCTACGGAGTTCTTGCAGTAAGCTGCAGGAGAGGGCTGCATCAGGGACAGCCAGGCTCCAAAAGGCAACGTGGCCTGCCACAGACCCCCAAACCAGGGGGGAGTAAAGGAGCCGAGGAGCACCCAGCTTTGGAAACGTCCCCGTCCCACCCCCCCCCCCCCCCACCCCCCCCGTGGGAGGGCCCTTGAAAGGCTCTGCTGGGAATCAAAGGGATCGGAGCACTGATCTAGCTGGTGGGGTGTGTGTGTGGTTGGGGAGGGGGGAGAGGCCCTCCCAGGGGAAGACACCCATGAGGCCAAAGGGCTGCAGCAGCTCAGTCACCTGTGTAATGCCCCCCCTGCATGGTGCCATGGTGGTTGCACACCGCATACAGGTCGTAGATGAAGTCCTCTGGGTCTCTGCCCAAGCCGTAGGGGCGCCTCCAGGGGGACCAGTGGGAGGGCAGGCTCCAGCTGCTCTGGCTTCGTTTGACCACGTGAGGGGTCATGTCAAGGCCAGTCAGGGGAAACCGGACCATGTTCTGGAGCTTCATGCGCCGGTCTCCTTCCTGGTGAAAAGGGAGAAGGGGAGGCATCACCAGCCAGCCCTGCACGAGGCAGACCTGGGGGAAGCCCCCCGATTGGCCCTGGTTATAGAGGAGGCCCGAGGAAGCCCCCCTCACCTGTCGGAAGCGCTTCAAGTGAATGATCAGCACATCAGGCAGCGTCCAGAGGCTCAGGCTGATGCTTCCTTGCTGCAGCTGCTTGCAGTGGGGGCAGCGCCAGGCATCGTCGGGAGCCAGCTAGAAGCGTGGGGGGAGGCGGTCAGAGGCGCAGCAGGAGCCCTTCCCTGGCCCTTCCTCCAAGCAAGGCAGAGTGAGCGAAGCACAGCCGTGGCCAGTTAGGAGGCAGAGAGCGGCCCCAGCCCCTTCCTGCAACCCTGCCGTGTTTCTCCCAGCCCTTCGGAGGAGAGGGGGGGGGCTTTGGAGTAAGAAGCAGGCCGTCCTCCTCCCAGCCAGCCCCTCCTACTTTATCCAGGCTGCAAAGCGCAGATTATTTCCCGTAGCAATTCAGATAAAGCTGAGAAGGGGGTAGGACTACATAAGAAAGCTTTGGGGGGCAGGCACCGTGCTCGGAGAGAGCTGCGTCCTTCCCTTCAGCGAGGGAGGGGGGCAAATAACCCGCGAGGCCACTGACCTGCTCCTCTTTGGTGTAGAGCTGGAAACACTGGGCTAAGGTGCAGGACTGCGGCTGCTGGTGCAGCGCCCTCTGCTGGCGGACACTCTCGGCGTCAGGGATGTACTCCTCCTCAGTGTTGATGAACAAGCTGCAACACGCAGGAGGAAAGGGGGGGATTTTGTCTCCCGTTTGTTTCGATGGCCGCCCAGCTGCAAAGAGCAACACTCCGGGCAGCAGAGAGAAAGGAGATCAGCCCATGCCAGCCAGGCAGCCCGAAAGAATTCAATGGCAATCAGAGCGGGAACGGACAATTCTCTCCAATGGGCGGCTCGGCCCGAGGATTGGGGCCAATGGTGTATTGGGTAGATTGGTCCAAAGGGCAGGGGCCACCACCAAAAAGGCCCACCTCTTGGGCTCAGGGACTCCTCTGAGCCTCATCTGGAAGGCTGGCTGATGGAAGGCATCATCTGGAAGGCTGGCTCCCAGACATGCCACCCGCCTCACTGCCCCTCCCAGCAGCCGCTTTGGGGAGCAGGGGAAGCCCTGCAGAGCAGTACTGATCTGGGCCCCTTGATCAGAGTCTGCATTAACACACACACCCCAAAAAAAGCCCTGCCCTTCCTTACTAGTCCTTTGTCTCCTTGTCCCATTCGACCACCAACTTCACGTGGGGGGTTCCACCTGTCCCACAAGACTTCAAGGTTCTGCAAAGGGAACAGAATCTAAGGGAGGAGCCCCCCACACCCGCCAGGATCAGCCCCTTCCATGGGTGCCACCCTCACGGAACCAGAGGGAGGAGGGCAGGGGCCCTTTGGAGAAGCAGCTGGGCTCTATGCTGTTGCCGCTCCTCCAAAGACGGGGGATGGGGAAGCCCTCGGCAGCCCCCCTTTTGAAGCCACGAGAGCCACGTTCTGCATGGCTCCCTGTGGAGAAGGAGCAGCTCCTTGGCAAGAGCTCCGTCCTGCTCACCGTTCCACCATCAGGTGGCAGAGAGGCCGCTCCTCCTGAGGTAAGAGGTACGTGATGCCCACAGCACTGACCACTCGCAAGCTGAATGGACACACCTGCGTGGAAGGGGAGGAGAGGGCGGGCTTCTCAGAGGACAAGCAGAGACAGAGTGGTCAACCCTGGGCACACGCCCCAAAGTTAAATGGCCAGAATATTGAATCTAGAGGCCCTCCAAAAAAATGCAGGTAGTTCTCAACTTACCACCAGTTAAAGGTAGCACAGAACCTCCCAAAACAACTCACAACCCAGTTTCAAACTTCCAATGACTTTTCAGTGTTTTCAATGAGGGGACACACATCCCGCAGTCACATGACCGCATTTTGGGCACTTGCAACCGGCCCAAATTTATGGCCGTCTGCAACATTCTGCAGTCATATGACACGCTTTACAAGGTTTTTGCCAGAAAGCGGCATTTACTTCGAGGTCCCAGCAAAAATTGCCAGGCTCAATTGCAGTGGCAAGTGGAGGATCACCTGCACACACCTTCCAATCTTTTGCAATTTCACTGTGTAATAAAAGCTTCTTTTCTTTAGGGGCCTCAACATGACTTGTAAGCATTGAGCAAGAAGGACAGAAATCTTAAGCCTCCCCACCGTTGTGCCTTCAAACAATGTCTTACATAATCTCCACCCAACATTTTGTGGATTTTTCCTTCTTTTGCATTTTGATTGGAACAATTTATCATGATTGTTGCTGAGGGAGGGAGGGAGGGAGGGAGGGAGGAAGGAAGGAAGGAAGGAAGGAAGGAAGGGAGGGAGGGAGGGAGGGAGGGAGGGAGGGAGGAAGGAAGGAAGGAAGGAAGGAAGGAAGGAAGGAAGGAAGGAAGGAAGGAAGGAGATTGGAATGAGAAGGGAGGGAGGGAGGGAGGGAGGGAGGGAGGAAGGTGTTTTAGTAATGCCAACTAAAACTGTAAACAATCATGTTGCATTTAGTCAGTGACCACGAGACCAGCTTGCTCAAGGCCCAAGGGCCAAAGGGAGGTTGCCCCATACCTGAATGCACGCTGAGGGGCGCAGAAAATACTGCATCTTCTCCAAGATCTCCTTCTGCAGAAGGTCCCAAGGGATGGTCTTCTCCAAATGCAGCACAAAGGGCTGGCCAAACCTGAGAAAGGAGCAGAACAAAGACCTGGTTGTAGAGTCCCAACGCGCAATCCGGGGACCTTCCTGGACTCCTGGTTCCTGCCAGAAGAGGAGGGGCAGCCATGGCCTGGAGGGCCTTCGCACACTTTCAGGTTGTGCGCCAATTGTACCTAATTCCTGGACCGGAGGCTCTGCTCACGGTCACCCATGCCCTTGGGACCTTCTGACTGGATTGCTGCAACCCGTCAGGCACTTGAATTTTGATCACGTGACCATGGAGATGCGGCAATGGTTGTTAAGTGTGAAAAATGGTCAGAAGTCATTTTCACTGCCATAGTAAATTCAAATTGTCAGTAAACGAAGGGTTGTAAGTCGAGGACTACTGTGTAATATTTCTTGGTTGCCATTTTTATTTTTATTTTTTTGCGTTGTTTTAACTGTTTAATTGTTTTTATGATTGTTCACAACCCAGAGTCACTGATTGAGATGAAAGGCTATTCCAACTGAATGAATGAATGAATGAATTTTTACAAAGCATGTTTAACAGTGGAAAGTTGTGGCCCCACCCCAGAAGCAAAGCCTAAGGCCCTGGCCACAGACCTCCAGCCGCCCCCCCCCCCAGATGAAATGGGCCTGCCCCCTCCCACCCCAGTCCGTGCCAGAACAACTGGTTGGCACCAAAAGGCACAGAAGCTGCTTGGCTTTAAATCATGAGAGTCATAAAGTGGGTCATCACATGACCACCCCCACCCCACCCCACCCCTAATTTTATGACCTTTTTGCAGGGGTTGTTAAACAAACCCGTTGATCTCTATGGGGCATTTTTTGTCAGAAACCAGAAGTAAATGCCAATTTCTGGAAAAAGTATTGTAAATCACAATCACATGGCTTGATGGACGGCACAAAGAGCCATAAATTTGGGCCAGTTGCCAAAATGCAGTCATGTGACCGCAGAGGGGACCCAGACATCAGAACTCTGAAACCAGGTCAGGTCCATCGTAACTATGAATGGTTGCTAAGCAACCATGGTTAGTCAAGGACTACCTGTCCATCCCGGCTCAACTCTTCTGAGTCTGGGCTGGTGTGGCAATGCACCTTTTAAAACCTGACATACAACTCCCTGACATACAAAGAACCTAACATACAACTCCCTCCGTGGCCCAGCTTCTATTAACGCAACACACCACCCATCAACTTTCTGACGGCTTCGTCCACTGCGGCTGAACCCTCTCAGCCCCATCTGGGCACAAAGGCCTTTCTGTCCTCCTCCAGGGAATCCGATCTGCCCCACATGCCAAAATCAGGACTCTGCCCCTCGTGATGAGGACTGGCCCCACTAATGAGCATTTTCAGCACAATTATAACAAGATATTCACTGTTAATGCCATCACCATCTCCCAAAGATTCTGGAGAGTTTATAAATAGCTAAAAACATTTCAAAAAGAAAGAAACCACAAAGCAAAAACGAATAAAGATGCTAGGAATGATAAAGTCAGATGAGAAAAAACAAAAAGGAGAAAAGAGGGGGGGGAGTCGCCAAAGGCCTTCAGGCCCCTTTGAAACACCAGCAGAGTGTGCGTGTGAGGGGGGGGAGGGTATCAATCAAATCTCATGGGTGGGACTTCATTCCAGAGGACAGGTGCTGCAAAAGAGAAGCCGCACTTCCGGAGTCCCAGCAGGTGGCACTTCTTTAATCGAAGGGACCCGGCATGTGCCAATCCTGCCGGAGAGGACTGGCTGGGCAGAGACTGTCAGCGACCAGGCCCTGTGCCACCTTCAACAGGTTCAGGCCAAGGTAAAGAAGAGAGTGCCAGGTGAGAGCCAGGCCCCCAGGCTTACCTCTTTCCCTGCTGTCCACTGCAGGCTCTGTTACACACCAAGATGACCAGCTTATCACTCAGGGCAGCCGCCGCCATTGTCCGGGCACTGCCGCTCTCCAGCCTTGCCTGGGCATAAATGGGCGACTTGGCATGGTCAAGGCTGTATTTCAAGTGGTTCAGATTGCTGTTGGCGTGGATTCCTGGAAGACAGCAAGGAGAGTTTTAGCAGAGATGCCCAGAGTGGAAGGCCCAGCTCTATTTCCCAAATCTGGACTGGGCAGAAAAAGCTTAAGTGATAGGATGGAAGGCCAAGACAAACAGAAGTCCAGAGAGCCAAGGCCCAACCACAGGCCAAAGCAGGGCCTCCACCCAGCCCTCCCAACCATCGAAGGGCTTGCCCAGAGGGCCCAGTCCCACACATCCCACAAGTCAACATACCTCTCTGGCTCAGGATCCCTTCTGGCCAGAAGATCTCCGGGGTCTCAAAGGCAAAGATACAGTCGCTCTCTTGCACCGTGTCCAGGTCATCCACGTCAGAGAAAGAGCGATGGAAGCCATCGTAATACATCTCTGTGAGCACAATCTGCAGAAGCCCAGAGGACAGCCATGTCTCTCTTGCAACGTGGCCCAGACGAGCAGCCCAGGGCAAAGGAGTGCAGCAGGGCCTCAGGCTCGCCTCCTCCAGCACCTCCCTTCTTCTAACTAGAGGCACCAAGACTCAGCACTTCGGTTAGATCGGCCTGACCAAATGCCGAGTTAGTCCAGCCTCTCACAGAAGACCAAAAGCCACACGGCCTTGTGCACTACTGCGCCCCCCGTTTTGGAGATGGCTGTGGGGCCTCTTCTAAGAATCTATCTGGTGGCACAGTAGTTAAAATGCAGCATTGCAAGCTGACTCTGCCCACAGCCAGCAGTTCGATCCTGACCGGTTCAAGGTTGATTCAGCCTTCCATCCTTCGAGGCTGGTAAAATGAGCCAAATTGTCATTTGGATCAAATAATGCTTCTTCATTGTAAACTGCCCAGGGTGGTATACAAGTGTATTGTTATTGCTATTGTCTCAAACCATAATTAAGCCAACATTGTTGGTGGTCATGGACTATCTTGGATGGAAGGCATCATGAACAGGGCCACCTAATTTCCATTCCTTTCTAGGGAGACCCAGCAGCATCTCCTGGAAAGCGCTCAGAGCTGGCTTCCTCCTCCTGAGCAGATGGAAAGGGAACAGAGGCAGCCCTGAGCATCTGCTCGCCCATGGGAAGCTCAACAGACAGGGGAGAGCAATCCAGTTGGGAGGGAGAACCATCCAAATAGCCCCCCCCCGCTTACCTGTTTGGCAGGTATTTTGGTTTCTCTGGCCACCGCTTCCCTCAGCTGGGCCACTGTTCCGGACAAAGGCACGGCCACTCCAATGCGCATGCAGTGGGAGCACTTCCCTCGATAGACCACGGTAACATAGAGCGGGCTGCAAAGAGCCAAAGAGGCTGCTGAGAGGGCCTCTCCGGCACCAGAAGGGGTCCATCCCTCAGACCACCCAGAGCGGGGAGGGAAAGACCAGCTTTCTCCCCTCAGTCCCCCAGAGCTTCTCATGCCCGGCTTCGGCATTGTTTTACTAACCGCCGGTTGAGGTGAACTAATCTCCTACCGTGTATGAGGCAGCGGGATCGGCAAAGAAATGCAGAGGAAAGGATCGAAAGTGTTGCTCTGCTTCTGGCAATGAGGACATGTCAAGGATGACCTGGAACAGAGAAGCCCCCTTTCTGACCCCATGCAGTAAAGCCAGAGAGGGGATTGGGGGAGCCCCACTGGCGAGAATCCCTCCCACCCTCCCATCATTACCCGTGGCCAACAGTTCAATTAACCTCTGACAGTGGAAGGGAAGTAAATACCAAACCAAAAGAATAAGGAGATCAAATCATTAAAAAGCGCAAAGAAGACGGTCCAAGCCGGCATTTGTACTGGTATTTCCACACGGAAGCCTCCTTTTCTACACAGGAGAATCCCATCCTGCTAAATGCCTGAGAGGCAGAGCCAGGACAGCCGCCCTTCAGCTTCCGGTGGTGGGAATTGAGAGGATGCTCAGGAAACCAAGCCCCCACCCCCCACCCTGTCTCAGAGCTCGAGTGGCCTTCCAGCTTGCAAGTCCCAGGGCAGGCAGGCTGAACCAAGGACAGGCCAGACCAGGAACGGCCCTACTGGCTGGCTCTGAGGAACTCCACCAATGGTCTTTCTTCAGGGTGAAACCAGGTGAGCAGAAAGCAGGAGGGCACCTTACCTGTACTGAGCTTGAAAGAGTTCCTGAACAAAAGTGCTGTTGACTGGCAAGAGGCTTCCCTCAATCAGGGAATCTTCTAACGGTGGCTGAAACAAAAGGGATTCAGGAAGGCCAGTCAGCCTGGGATTCAGTAGCGTGAGCCCCAAGGACAACCTGAAAGCCAAGACTCTGAAAGTCCACAAGAGTCACACTGGGGAACTGAAAACACTGGGAAGGTCTGCCTCCCAGTATACTTTTGCATGCAGGCCTCTTGTGATCCCAGCAGGAAACCCAGCAAGGAACGGAAACCACACAACTACCCAAGACAACCCAGTAAGTTCAGCCCAATGGAGCAATTCATCTTCTGGCCTCCCTTCGTTCTCTCCACGGGGCTCCTTTGTGCCAAAGCAGAGGGTGTCACCTTCACAGCTGCTCTCCCATCACTGTTCTTCACTAAATTGTGGAGATCTTCATGGACTCGGTCCAGAAGCCAGAGCAGGAACTCCTGTGCGTCGTGTTGTGAGCTCCCTCGGAACTGCAAGGCGTTCTTGGAAACGATGCTCTGTGGCGAAAGAGCACAGAAGTTGAGGGAGCCCCACCCTGGGGACACAGCCCCCCCACCCCACTTTCAGGATGCTTCCCATCGGATAGGCGAAACCAGACCCCCTCCAGACCACCAGGAACCATCAGGTGGTATTCCTGGCAAAGGTATCATTCCAACACCCTGTGCCCCCTCCTTCAGGCCAACCCACCAGCCCTGAGTTGAAACACTGGGGGCCGCCATGAGACTGGGATGGGGGAGAGCAGGTGTGGATTTTGGGGAGGGCTCTGATCCATCTATATGGATCCCTAAACCTTCAAATGCCCCCCCCCCCGCCCTCTGATGACTTTCAGGGTTGATGAAACAGCTCCCAATATCTAGGACACTGTTAGACTTGGAAACACCAGGAGAGACTGATGGTTGCCTAACTGTTCAATCTGTTTCCATCGATTTGTTTTATGGATTATTGTAAGTGACCAGAAGTCCTTGTGAAGTCAGGGTCAAGGCAACAAACACCCCTTTCCTCCTGCAATTAATACAAGCCAAAGCAGCAGCCCTCCTGCAGAACCTGCCCCACTGGCCCCCGAATGCCTTTCCGGGAAGCCCCTTGGTCCTTCCTACCACCAAGGACAGCAACAGGCAGATGTGCTCCAGGGTGGAAGAGTGACCGTAACCCTAACGCAAACCAGGGCTGAGTCCAGACTCTTCCGAGGGCTAGAGGAAGCAGGACAAATCACAGTTTCCCCTTGCAGACTTTGGAGCTGCTGCCCACCTGCCCCGCCAGCACCGAGTGGCCAAGGCTGCTGGACAGCAACCCCAGCCAGCCAAGGAAGCCAGACTGGGGGATCTTCATCAAAACAACAGCAATGGTCTCCTATAGAGGAGGCCTCTTTTAGTAGAAAGCTCTGGCACAACTGAACCGTTATGGAAATGGAGAGGCTCCCACCTGCAGTGCCCCCCAGGAAGGGGCAGGGGACAGGAAATAAACAGTTCAAAGTCTGGGGGGGGGTGAAGCCAAAGGAGCTTGGGGTGATTGGCTGCTAAAATCCCACTTAAGGCAGGGAGACCCACAGCTGCAAAAGCAGGGCCCCTCCAGGCACCCGCAGAGCAGGGAAAGAGCAGAGGGCGCAGAGGGCGCAGGCAAGGGGGAAGCCTCCCCCCATCTCTGCCCTGACCCTGATCCCCATCAGGTTGCTACCAATCTATCCCCCAAAACATACCGGTAGAGGGACTGTCCGGAAGTCCCTATTCTTGTACTGGGCTGCCTGCATAGGGCCGTGGTGGTGCAGTGGTCAGAATGCAGCATTGCAGGCAGACCCTTCCCACAGCCAACAGCTCAATTCTGACTGACTCAAGGCTGACTCAGCCTTCCACCCTTCCAAGGTCGATAAAATAAGGACCCAGACTCCTTTGGGAGAATGTGCTGACATTTGTAAACCACCCAGAGATCACTATAAAGCTCTATGGAGCTCACCAAGCTGAGCGTCTTCCCAGGTTTAGCAAAGAGCAGCTCCTGGAGGAGAAGAAAGGACAGAACCTGGGGGCGGAGTCAAAAGAGGATTCAGCCTAGAGCCATGATGGCGAACCTGTGGCACGCGTGCCACAGGTGGCACACGGAGCCATATCGGTGGGCACGTGAGCCATTGCCCTAGTTCAGCTCTGGCACGCATGTGCACGCCAGCCAGCTGATTTTCGGGCCTTCCGTGCTCACCAGAAATTGGGAAACAGGCTGTTTCCAGCCTCTGGAGGGCCTCCAGGGGAGGGAAGGCCCATTTTTCGCTCTCCCTAGGCTCCAGAGGCTTTCTAGGTCCCGCCGGAAGTCAGCAATCAGTCTGTTTTCGGCCTCCTGAGGGCCTCCAGGGGGGGTGGGGAAGGCCGTTTTTGCCCTCCCTAGGCTCCAATAAAGCCTCTGGAGCCTGGGGAGGGCAAAAAATGGGCCTACCGGGCCCACTGGGCCATCACGTGCCAAAAGCAGGGGGAGCTCAGTGGGGTCGCATGGGCATGCACAGGGGGGCGGGACGCATTGAATTATGGGTGTGGGAACACACACGTGTGACACCCCCGCACTCCCCCCACTTTTGGCACGCGACAGCAAAAAGGTTAGCCATCACTGGCTGGAGCAGCCCCTTCTGAATTCTCTTGCACCAAGAGAGCGCTAACCATTAGCTGAGTAGTTTCTTGTACGTAGGCATGTTGAGTAATAAATCAGTTTAATTGGAACTTTATGTGTGGTCCTGATCTTTCGAGCCTGGCAGCTCACCTGTGCCAATGGACAAAAGAAGAGGAAATGCGCAAACACACTGAACCATTGAGAGGTGGGGCAGGGCAGGGCAGGGCAGGGCAGGGCAGGGATGGGCTTTGAAACCAGCTTGATGCCAATGCCAACTAAGCCCCTCCCTTCTCTCACCACCAACATGCACCCCCAGGGATCTGCATCCAGGGCAGAAATGCTCCCCGCCCCCCATTGTCTGTTTCATTACTATTATAACTTATTTATAATGCATTTGCACTCAGAGAGAATGGCATATTCATTAATTATGAATCTGTGGCGTGAATCCTTTCTAGCGCTATGAAGCATTTGCAGCATTCCAGTAAGATGGGTGCATTTTAAAGGAAAAAACTGGGAGTGTTTCCTCTCTGCTCCTGCCTGGCGAGGAAAGGGTCCCTGCTCCACTGGGAGGGCCAACATTTCCGGCCATTTTCAAGAATGGGGCAGATCCGAGAGGAAGAAAATGATTCAATACATGCTCAGCAACAGGAAAGGGCAGCGAAACAGAGGCGAGAGAAACTGAAACAGAGGAAAATTTCTATTCCTAAATTATTAAATTTATTAAATTGAAGTATGGGTAGTCCTCAACATAAGGCAGTAATGGAATCTGCCCATTATGACAATGGTCATAAAACAGGAAGTCATATGATTCTAGGATATTTTGGGTGCAATCATTAAGTGAACCAGTGGTTTATTATGGACATAGTTTTGCTGAAAACCGCAAAACCATTGTAAAATGTTGTCATGTGATTGCCGGATGCTGAAAACTGACAAAAATGCGGTTGTGTTGCCAAGCACCTGAAGTTCAGTCTGCCGACTGTCGGAATTTCAAATCCAAGTCATAAATTCCCTTTTTCAGGTCAGTCGTAACTTCAAACTAAGTGACCAGTCGTAAGTTAAGGACTACCTGTAAAATCTTATGAGGCTGCTTCCCTTACTCTTTTCCCAAATGCAAACTGATGCTGGGGTGCCTGACTGCGCAGGGCCCAGAGTTGATCCTGGCTTGCTCAATGGCTGGAGGGCCTCTGACCGATTGCCTTCACCCAGGCCCAAAATCACCCACTGCCACCCACTCCTTCTCCAAGCCTGCCAGCCCATCAGGCGAGGGTGCTCAGCCGAGTGTGTGTGTGTCACCCAAGCACCATAATCAGTGGCAAGAGACGATGGATGTCAGGGCACTGAACTCCAGTGTCAGCTCAGCTATGGGAAGAGAGGTGGGGGCCAGCTGCCTCCTCCCACGGACCACCATGGAGGGTCCCTTGACTGGTCACTCCTCTTCCTCTGCTCTTGACCCACATCTGTGCTGTGAAAACTTAGGTCACAGAGCAGAAACACACAAAACTCCCCAGGAAGCAAAGCTCAAATTGCAATTTAGGATGAAGTTTTCATCAGACAAAACAGCAAACAAAGCCAAGATGGGGGAGGGGCAGGGTGGGGGGAGGAGTCTGCAAACAGGTGGCTGATGATGAAGGCGGAAGATCTGCATGCAGCCCAGGAAGATCTGCACAACGCATAAACTGCCCCTCCAGGTACAAGCAGGCAAAGGGAATAAGCCACAGGCATCTGGGGAGGCCCCCTGCTTTGCACCCTGCACAGCAAGCAGAGAAGGGGGCTAGCATCCAACAGCCCCCTCCCAGGATGCCTTGGACAGATGAGCTCTCCTGGGGGAGCAGCCCGCAGTGGTGCAAACAGCCCCCCCTTCCCAAAGGAGGGGCTACAGACAGGACTATTTTAAATTAAGCTCTCCTGGACGTTGCCTTTAAACCTACATGACGGGCTGATCTGGAGCTTTTGAAAAGCAGAACATAGAACATCTCAGACTTGGAAGGGACTTTGGAGGTCTTCTAGTCCAACCCCCTGCTCAGGCAGGAGACCCTATTCCATTTCAGGCAAATGGCTGTCCAGTCTTTTCTTAAAAGCCTCCAGTGATGGAGCCCCCACAACTTCTGGAGGCAAGCCCCCATTCCACTGGTTCATTGATCTCCCTGTCAGGAAAATTTTCCTTAGTTCTAAGTTGGAGTTAGAAGAACCTGGAATTGGATTCTCAGCTCTGTCTCCACCTTTAGACCAGGCACGCAAGTTGTTTGAAAACAAAAGGAACTTAGATCAGTTTTTAAGATACACAACCCTGGAGCCATCCAAAGGAGGGGAACCTTTGCCAGCTGGCAGGCAGGAGACTCACTTGCTTCCCTGGGGAAGAGGGGCCCAGCCTCTCAGCCAGGAGGAGCCCAAGGAGCAACAGATGAACGTGGCTCATTTGCTCTGCGCTTGGGTGAACACGCTCAGTGCCGTGAAGTGGAGCCATGCGCATGTGTGCCCCGTGTGTGAACTCAGCCCAGGAGCACATCCATGCAACGTGTAAGCTAGCATGATCAGGACAAATGTGACAGGCAAATTGGTTGCTAGGTCAAACTGTAGTGAAAGAGGAGCCCCACAGCAGCCATGCTTTCTCTTGCAAACCAAGCAGCAGATTTACGAGGTGCTAAATGTCCCTTTTGACTCCCCAGAAATCAGCAGAAGAGTGAAAGAGGGCAAGGGGCCTTTGGCCAGAGGCCTTTCTTTCCCCACTTTGGTGAGGTACCACCTGCTGATCTAAGGGAACTGGCCACCATCAAATGTCAGCTGGTGGCCATCAAAGGGGCCACTCCCAGGGGGGAATTAGGGAAGGAGACAGAGGAGCTGCCCAGCTGCTTATTCATTTCCCCAGCTTTTCACTACTGCACCCCCCCCTCTCCCCAGGGAAATGGCATTT